GCTTTTCTTTGTAAAAACTTTAATTGAATTTTAATAAAGTTAAAGGCATGGCCTCACTGTTAATATTTAAAAAAAAATATATATATTTTTAAATATTACCAGATTTTTATAAACTTCATATTCATATAATACATTATATTTGGCTTAGAAATTATATAATAGTTACAATTCTAGTAACAAAAATAAGCTGTTTAAGATATTTTAGTAATTTACCTAATTTAGAAATCAGATTTAAAATATTTTTAATTATTTCTTAAAACCTAACTAGTAGATAATTATTTTATTCAGCATTTACTATTTGATGAATTCTGTAATTATAAGCTGTTACTAGTTATTTGAATTTATACTATTTTATGATATTTACAATTTACTATATAAATAAGTAAAATATGTCATATATAGCTAAACTGTTATTATATAAAAAAGTTAATGATATTGAAAATTTTTTAAAATTGCTTATACTAAGCGAAGATCTTAATTAGGCTTAAATATTTTCTATTATTTTGATCACAATTAATTACATGCATTAATATCTAATTATTATTAAATATACAATTGTTATAGTATTTTTTAATAATTGTTATAGTTTTATAACTATGTAATCACTTGTTTTCATTACTAGTTAAATTGGATATATGTTTTCGAAACTTATTCTTCTTATTTTTTAAAAGTTCATTTGCTATATAAAAATTTCTATAAAATTTATGTTTGTTTATTCTCTAAATTTTCATTAATTTAACAAGAATAAATTGTTTTTTGTTAAAAATTTATCAAAGTTTAATGAACTTAAATTATTACCTGCACAGATGTATCTTTACTTATATAATCATCTTCAGATATATAATTTTGTAAGTCTTCATAATCATCAGCTTCAGAATCAGAATCTTTAATCGAATCTTGAAATGTTTCAGTAGATGATAAAGATGAAGTAATTATTTTATTAAGAATATTCGCTAATGCTTCTTTTTTATGATTATCTGTAGGTTTTGCATAAGCATAATATTCACCAGAAAATTTGTGTTTACTAATTGCATGAGCAGTATTTTCATGTACTCCAATACTAAATAATTCCATAATACTTGTTTTTCTATATGAGTGATTATTGATATTTCTTTTTTCGATATTTATTCCACATTCAATGCAGATCAATTTAAAAAATGAATAGATTATATAATCAGTTAATGGTTTATTCAAATACCAGTTTCCTTTAACAATAGCTTTATTAATAATTTATTAGCCTATATATTAAATATAAAAATCTGTATATAATATAACATCATATAAATATTATATTACCATTTGGACTTTGAGAAGTAGAAAGATAAAAATTTGAACACTTGGAGTTTTTAGGACATAAAGAAATATATTTTCTTATATCAGCATTTGGTCCTGTGGCATTTTGTGAATCAGATGAAAAAGGTATAGTTAAATCAAACTGACTTTCATCTATTTTTTCTTGGTCATTTTTCTGTTAGGTTTTTTTAAAAATAATATCATTCAGTATGATCACAATTTGTTGTAAATGCAAGTTAGTATGTTTGCCACCTTTGGCAGCACTAAGTATAGAAATCCAGAAAAAACCTGGTTTAGAAAACTAAAGAAGTATTTGGATCTAGTACTTCATAGTTCAATATATGCTGAATTTCTTCAGAGTTAAACTATCAGTAGATTTTAATTCACCAAGTCCTTTTTTTTTCATGTTTTTAAGTAAACCATCAAATTATGCATACAAATCAGAAAACACATTTTTGTTATGCAAATTATATTTCCAACCAGGTTTTACATCTTGAAGGTGATGATTGATTGCTGACAAAGCATTCTTTAATAAAGTTCTTGAATAATGTTCACCTTTTTTGAGATGTTACACCATATAAAAACTAGGATACTTGAAGTTCGATCATTTACTTACTAAGACTTTCAAGTAGTTCATTATAATTAACATTTGACCACTATTAATTCATAACTTTAATCCATTGCTCAGTATTTTTGACTATATTTTCTGGAATACATTTTTTACCAAGTACTGAAAGTTTTCAGTAGAAGATAAAAAATTAGATTATTCACTCATATTTGAGTTTGATTTAAGAAAGAAAGGATTATAAAAAAAAATAAACCATTGCTCATATTTATAATTTTTATAACTGATAAATTTTGTAATCTGTTAAAATTTCTGTAATTAATAGTTAATATAGTGATAAGTAATAATAAACTATATTAGGTTTTTACTTTATACTGAATAAAACAGTTATGAGATACAAATGCCTTATAACTATTAATTATTAATGCAAAACTGTGAATTTTATAATATTAAAAAAAAATTATCTAAATTTTTTTAAAAAAACTAATTGTTAAAACTTCTTTTTTAAACCTTATAATTTAAGAATTTATATAAATTTATAAGTAGTTTTTTTATTCTTGTTTAAAATGCATATATATTTATATATAAATAAGATAATTTTAAAAATAGATTAAAGTTTTATCTTGTTTGTTTAACTTTCTTGTTAGAAATTGTCCAGAAAGTGAATTGGCAATATGTTGTTAACATTAAGAGTTTATATATTTTTGATTATAACTTTTAATATATCAAATTAAATTGAATAAAACAATTACTATTAAATTCAGCTTATTAAGATAGTTCTAAAAAGTTTAAGATCATATAATTCTAATTATTGAATTATAAAAATAGAATAATTTTAATCAAAGTACTAATTCTAGTATATGTAACTTGATTCTGATTGGCTTTTCTTACTATGACAAAAATCTAGCAAATATAGCAAATCTAGCATTTCTATTATATATAACATATCTTACATTTTTATTATATTTATTATTTATATAATATTTACAATATCTTTTATATATATTATATATATTATATCTATTTTATCTTTTAGTTATTATATATATTAATACTACTATATTTAGCAATAGAATATTCTTTATTATAATAATTTATACATATTAAATATCTATAAAAGCACTATTTTTTTGCCTTTCAAGAATGTTAAAATTAATAAACTGAATATAATATTTAGTATTTTTATATACTATCTATTGTTGTCTATGCTTTAAAATCTCAAATTATACTTATTAAGTATTGTTGTATGTTTTGTATAGAACCTGTCAAGTTATAGTCCTTATACTATAGTTAACAGTTTCTGTTATTACTATAGTAATAAAAAACTACAGATTGATAATATAAAATCTCTAAAAATCAAAGATAACAATATAAGATATTTTTATAATTGAGAATAATGTCAAGAATTTCATTAAGCATCTTTTAAAATTATTATTATTACTTGATTTTTAAATGATTACTCTATATGTCAATAATATTACAACAATATAATCATTAAAAATTTTTTTTTTAAGTAAATAGAAAAAAAGTTAGCAATTTTGTTTTTTATATTCAAATAAAAAAAAAACTAAAAAATAAAATAAATTTTTATAATTTTGGAATTTAAGTATTATTAACCTAACTTTTTAATAATTTAGGCATTTAAGTTTTATTACAAAATTTTAAATATAAAAGTTTTATTAAACAAATTATGAATTAGAATATTTAAATTAATAATTATTTTCAAATCTCTAATAACTCCATATTACATACATTTCAAGCTCAAACAAAACTTTGGCCTTGTTCATTTAAAGCTGAACT